AAATTACCCAGGCAGTTTATGGCTCTGGCTGCTCAGCTATAAACAGCTGCTCTCTGGTGAAATGTGGCACTGGAGGACTGGACGCATTTGTTCTGATTTTGTTTTCTCCTGTTATTTTTTGCTTCTTGCTTTGGCGTGAGATGATCTGGAGGACATAGTTGGAAACTGAGCACACAAATAAGGGATAAATAGCAAAAGCTGAGTGGGGCAAGGCTGGTGGTTTCACCTTGTGTGGAGATCATGAGGTGATTTCTGCTCAGAACAGAATTTTGCAGTTTCTCCCAAATTTGCTAAACTACAATTGCATAGGCAATGATTTCCCTGGTTTCCGTGTCAGTGTCTTTTTTCCACACCTCTTCAGGGAGCCTTCTCCAGCAATTTTTCCAAAGACATTTCTCCCTCTTTTTATCCTTCAGAAGGGCTGAGATATCTCTCTGCTGTGGACCAAAGGGCTCTTGGCTTGAAATAGGAGAATATTCTTGCTTTTCCAATGGCAAACTTTGACAGTCTGAGAGCAATTTGTTCAACTTCTCCAACTGATAAAAATGCCCATGTTCTTAGAGTGCTCAGAGGGAAAAGAGCCCATGGGAATGCAACCACGACTGCCCAGACCTTCCATAAATTTCAGTTTGGCTGGTGCAGGGTAGCATCAGTGCATAGATTTTTCCCAGGATAATTCATGCCTAGGAAGCATCAACATTGGCTTCTCTGGATTTTTCCCTTGTACATTCATGCTCTGACAAAGCTTTCTTTCATTTCATAAACCCGCAACCATTTTGTGGCATAACCACAGCAAATAACCTGATTTTGGAGACAGAGCAGCTGTGGCCAAGACGACAGCATCTGTGCTCCCTGGAACTGTTCCATGCCCAGAGTTTGTAAGGATGGGAAGTGCTAATTCCATGTCATGATCCTCCACCACTGATGGCCAGGGCAAAGTCTCTTTCAAGGTCTGTTTGCTGCTTAAAATCCTTTCACCCTGCCAGATCAGCTCTGAATTTTGAAACATCTGCAGACAACTGCCGTAACCTGCTTAAAGTGTTTTTAGGTCAAGTTTTGGATGCAGAAGGGTTTAGGTGGTCCTTCAGGCAATCCTCCAGGTAGGCTGGAGACTTGATATAGCCTACCAGGACATGTGTGAGGTTCTGATGGCTTTGCACTCACAGCTGGAGCTGAGGGAGGTGTGGGGATGGAGAAAGGGCTAATGGGAGACCTTTAGAGAGGTCTCAGGAATCCCAGTGACACTCAGGGTGGGAGGAGGTGGCAGGGAGCTTAGTACGTGTGTCATATTTATTGTTTCATGCCTTTACACCATGAAAGGATAAGACACTAGGTAAAAAAATCCTAAGGGATTTGGGATGAGGGCCAGAAGATGAAGGAGCAAGTCTGTGGAGATTTGGGGCTGGGCTACAGCTCATAGATGGTTCGGCAAGTTCAGCCTCATGCACCCCAGCTCTGCTGAGGGACCTCAGAGCACCCTCTGGTCCACCCCCAGTGGTGCAGATCTGAGCTGGGATGTGATTCCTTCCATGACCCAATTCCCTAACTGAACTCCAGAAAGGCCAGTCAGCCCTTCGTATTGTGGACCACATTCATGAACCCTGAGGTGGTCCCAGCAATGGAGGGGCAAGAAGAGAAGGGTGGGTTTGCTTAGTCTGAGCCTGAGCAGGCTGGACAGGTGTGAGCAGCTGGCAGGGTGTGAGCTGTGTTTGCAAATTTGAGAGCAAACATGAGCTGGAGGTGATTTTTGTGGGAGAGGCGGCGATAACATTCAGGAGCTGCCTGGGCCCGGGGACTGGTTTTGAGATAACACAGAGTCAACGCCTGGAGAGATAAAGCAACTATGAGCTGGAATAAAGGGGCACAAGGGAGTGGCCACAAAGCCCCCTTCTTTTCCTCATTTGGGTAAACCACCAGAGTTGTCCCAATGCTCAGTGGGAGCCCTGTTCTCTGCTCCTTGGTGAGCTGCAGCCTTGCCATTCCCTTTCCTCAGACACAGCTCAGCATTTCCATGTGGATTGGGAAACCCTCTGGTCAAGCATTCAGCTGCTGGAGACAATCCACAGATTGCTTGGAGAGAGATTCCCATCCTTCAACCAATCCTGGCTGTGGTCATCTCCATGGGGTGGTTGGAGATGAGCATCAGGTTGTGGTGTAGGTGCGCAGATTTGCTCCACAGCCTTCCTCTCACCCAGCCCCTTCCTGGGTTGTGCTCTGAACCAACAGTTCAGATGCAACTCCCAGGGGATCTTCTGTTATCTGGGAAAATGGTTTGAATGTATTTTTCCCTATCATGGGCAGCTCAGAAACAACCATTAAAAAGAAGTTTAAAATCAGAATATTTGAGAAAGGCAAAGGAAATGTGCTGGGGAAGGGTTGGGAAGGGAAAAAGTTTGGATTTTTTCTCCAGAACTCTGCTTCAAGCATCCACTAAGGAAGGTGTGGGAGTTTTGAATTTCCACTCTTTCAAGTATGTTCTAGTCAGAGCAGGAGAAATGGCAATGGGTTCAGCCAATACTTTTAGGGATGAGAAAACAGAAGTCCCCCAAACCACAATAATTCTTCAAATCTGATAACATGTGGAGTACTGAGCATGGCTGGGTGTTTAACTTGTAACTGAGGACTGCAGCATGACCATCAGCAGCAAAATTCCTTCCTTGGCTCAATTTTTGGAGACAGCACATGAATGGGGAATGTCCAACCTTGCATTGGCTTCTTTTCTTTAGAGACATGGTTCCATCTGGCCTTGCAAATCAAAGCCAGACTGGTTCTCTTGGACTTTCCTGCACACCTGAAGATTTTGATAATGTTTTTTTACTGCTCCACCATTGCTCTGGGGTTTTGATGTGCCTGAGTAAGATCCATGATGAAAAACAGCATCTCCATCCACAGGGGAAAATTCTATTCCCAAGGAAAGGTTACTGAGGTGACGGACTGGACATGGACACATCTAGGGATGGCCCTCTTTCCAGTAGGTGTCTTGGGGGGATCAGCAAAACTTGGGATGTGAAACACTGGAGAAGAAAAGCTCCCTGTTGGTTTGAACAGCAGCTCCTGCTGCATGTGGCCAGAACCAGCAGCCAGGTTGGAGGAAGGAGTGGTGTGTCCCCTCCCACCAAAACAAATGTGGATATAGGGATGGAAGGGCCACTACCACTGATATTCCTGCAACTACCCAGATGTCCAACTGAACAGAAAAAAACAATCATTGAAAAGGTAGCAGAGGTGTTTCAGGAAAAAAAAAAGCTGGAAAAAATATGTTCACCCATTTAATTCTCACCCTTTCCTTCCCTTTTCCTCCCCAGGGGTTATTTTTAGCTATGGCCAGTCTGTGGGTTCATTTTTCTGTGCCCTTTTGCACGCATTTGGGAATAGGGGTTATGTCTCAAAGGAATAGCACTCCCTCTCATGTGTTCTGAGCAGGTTCAGCCCAGAAAAAGGGATGTGGGCTCTCACCACTAGATGGCCAGAAACAAGAAGGCGACTCCTGGGGCATGGGAGGGATAGGACTCATCCTGGAGAGCTGCTGAGGAACGTCAGGGCTTCAACGAAACTGTATTTTCTAGACTGGGACACAGTTCTGGCTGTGGGACAACGAGGGATGGGATGGAGAACTAACCATATTTTAGCACTTCTTTTCCTTCTGTCTTCTAGGTCCTTCTCATCCCTAGTTGTTGTCTCAGCTTCTAAGTATTCTCCAACACTGATTTATCACAAATCATTATCCAAAATGAGGAGTTCCCTCATCATTCCTTATCCTTCACAGAGGATGAGCAGCTCTTTACCACCTTTGGTTCTTGAGGGTTCCCTTCCATGGTTTTCATTCACTTTATTATTTTTGCTGGCAACTTTAGGTAGGTCAAAACTGACCCTTCCTGTGATATAAACTTGCCAAAATGTGTGAAAATGATGACACTTGAATAAAACTGATAGAAGCAGAGACATCTTGGCCCTGACCCGAGAGGGCTGTGGTTGTCACTAGACATAGAATTGTGCTCTGGCTGCCCCAGCAGAGCCTTACAAGCAAAGGGATGTCCTGGATGGTTGTTCTCCAAAAAGCCTGAGCAATATCCAGGGTGTAATAACCCCACTATAGCTCCTCATGGACACAAATAAGCCTTTCCTCTCTTCCTGGTGGCTTTCACATGGCTTCACATCCAGGTGCTGTTGTGGATGGTGCCTGTGGTATGGACAGCTTAAAGTAGGAATTTGCTTCCAGGTCAGAGCTGAAGTAAATCAGTTGGAGGGAGATACTGGATGAGCATGGATGGGTGTAAAGCCTGGAAGGTCCTTGTACCTCACTGACTCCACTGGAAGAGTGGCACGGTGGATTTATGTTGCTCCCATGAGCCCAACCCACCTCTCCACTGTGATAATGATTTTTCCACTTTTCACATCCCCCATCCCTTTCCCAGGACCATCCCTCCAGTCGACACAGAGAAGCACCCCCTCAGAAAGGTCATTTCCCAGTGCTCCCTGTGCTCTCCTCCCTCCCACAAGGGTTTCAGTGTGTCCTCATGATGGCAGTGGGGATGTGGGTGGGTGGGTGGAGAACAAGGCTGGAGGAACTTTGCTGGATCAGTTTGGGTCTCTTGGCTTGGTGCCGTGGGCTGTGCCATGGTCAGCATCCAGTGGAAGTTCAGTGATGCCTGAGGGCACTGCAAGGAGCAGCCACATCCCTGGGCTGGGCTGGTGGCTCCACATCCTCCGACAGAGCCCTGTCTCTCATTGCGCCTCTTGTGAGGACACCTCCATGGGGGACAGATTGTCTGGTCTCATCAACAGAGGGATGGGGACGTGGTGGCCTGGGCCAAGTGCCGAATTCCTCATGGGACATGATCCTTGCCCCTGCCAAGCAGGCAGGAGAGGCCCAATGGCAACAAAGGGTTTCAGGGGGCTGGCCAAGCCCCAAGTGGGTTACCCAACACTCAGTAGAGTGTGGCTGCTTGAATGTGGAAGGACAAGCACTTCTAAAGGACAAAAGCTCCTATCTCCAAGCCCTGCCGGCACAAACCTCGCCGGCAGCGAGAGTGAAACTGGACTATCTTGCAAAAACACTTTGAGCAAACAGCGCTCAGTGGAAAGCATCTGATAAGAGCAGCTGCACTGCTGGTGGCTCAGGCAAGAGGACTCCGGTGCCCCATTAGGACTGCAGCTCCCTCGGGGCCGTGCCGCCTCCGCTCTCCGGGGACGCACCATGTCCACCACCATCTGCCAGGTGATGGGGTTCCTTGTGTCATCGTTGGGCGTCGGGGGGAGCATCATGGCCACGGCCATGGACACGTGGAGCACGCAGGACCTGTATGACAACCCGGTCACGGCCGTGTTCCAGTACCAGGGGCTGTGGAGGAGCTGCGTGCGGCAGAGCTCCGGCTTCACGGAGTGTCGGCCGTATTTCACCATCCTCGGGCTGCCAGGTAGGGGCAAAAACACTCCAGGTGTCACCCAGGGGCTCTCCTGCATCTGAAAGGAGGAGCAGGTATCTTAAAGCACTTTGCAAGGATTAACATTTCCAGTGTTATGTTATGAGCATAAAAATAGGAGCATATTTGTTGCCAAAATGATTTTTGTGGTGGGGGTTATTGATGGGGGTTACAACCTGAAGTACGTGCGGGGGATGTCTGGGTGAGCATCACAGGTTCAGCACCACTGCTGGCATAAATCAGTGCAGCTCCACTGAGGTGAGGAGAACGAGGATGATTAACCACCAGGTATTGTCCCTGGGAATGGAAACACAAGGAAGAGGGCTCTATGCAACTGTGTAGTGTTATAGGATAATAGAAATGATTGAAATGTACTGTTTTTCCAAAGATAGAACTGGAATGGGAGAAATTTTCCCATGAGAGGTGTGGGTAGGAAGGTTATTAAGGGAAAAGGTGTGTTCAGCTACTGCCCATCACCTGGGCAGTGTTAGTGCCTACAGAAGCAGAGTGCTGAGGTGTATTGCTGTCCTGTTTGCTTGCTCATGTTCCCAAAATAGCTGTTTTTCCCACCCCACTGCATGTAAGGGTATTCCAGTGCTCCCAGCCCAGCAGTAAATTTGGCCCTGGGAGCATTCCTCACTCCTTGTGCATGATCACAAAAAGGTCCAAACAAGCACTGCTGTGCACGGGCCTTTGCAACTGTGGATCCAAGTGTGATGTGGGTTCCAGCCCTGTATCCTCAGGGATGTCATCCTCAGGGATGCCCTCCTCAGGGATGCCCTCAACCTTTGCTGAGGACCTGTGACTCTCTGAGGGGTGCCATGGAATAAATGTGTCTCTGTGTACTCAGTTTCAGTATTGCCAGGTGAATTCTTTCCCATTTGGAAGAGCAAACCTGATACTTAGAGGTACCTAATTATCCTCTCCCATAAGAATATTTTTTTAAAGACTAAAAATTGGATTTATCCAACTATCTCTACACAATGTTGACCACTATATCTCTCCATAGTGCTTTGGGCAGGTGATTGTGTGTTAAATGAGCCATAAGGAAATGGGAACCATCATTTCGATGTCAATTTACCCCACTCAAGATTTTACTTTTTCAGTTATTCTTAAGGAATATGGCAATGAAGAAATGTGCAAAACACTCAGAGACAATTTCTGTTGTTAGGGATATCCTGTCAGAGTTATCTTTATGAATCCATTTAATTGATTTATTTATTTGAACATATAGAAAAAATGTCCGTGCTGGAATTTGCTTAACTTAAACCACCTGCTGGATGTACTTAATTTTCCTAAAATTTCTATATCCCATCAATCATTACTGGTCATAAAGTCAGATTCTGCTTTTTTATTATGTATTAGCAACAGAACTGCAGGTGATGGCCATTTAAATCACTTAAAGTTTTTTTACCTCACTCACGTCTTATCACTCACATTGGGGAGGAGGACAACAATCCAGTTTCCCTTACCTCTGGAAAACAGGGATGCAGGCTGTGGTTTCACATCACGGGCATTTATTTTGGTGGAGAAGCTATTTCTGTTGGTGCTTTTGTTGTTCCCTTATTATGGAACACCAGCCCTTATGTGGAAGCCAGGTTATCCTCCCTCATGCAAAAGGTGTGTGCGAAAGGCAGGTTTTGTAACTCCAGGGCTGTTTGCTTCCTACTGCTCCTGATACCACTTTTCCTTAGTCTCCCACTTTGTTTGTCTAAGCCCTTCCACTCCTTCCTCCAAGCAGAGGTCATTCACCTTTGGAAAAGCAGCTCTTTTCAAAGGACTTTCAATGGATGCCAAAATTCCCTTGAAACTGCAGTGTTGCCTTTCCAAACAGCTCCCACTTCAAGTCCCATGAGCCAAGTGGAGAGGTCTTCATGCCACAGCAGAAACAACTTCTTTCTCCTTTCCATCTCTTAGTGGAGGTGGTCAATCTCATGGAGGCAGGAATGGCTGATGATGGTTATCTGGCATTTTTTCTGTCATGTCCTGACGTGCTCCTCTCCCTCCCCTTTCCATCAGCTCCTTTCAATGGAGATTTACGACAGTGCTCCAGCAAAAGTGGAGCATCCTTGGCTGCTTAGCCTGGCCCTGCCTGTTGTGTCCTTCCATGGGCACCAAAGGCACTAGGAACACCTCTCCTGAGAACCAACAAACTCTCTGTGGGATCTTTGTTTGGGGTCACTGCTTGAAGGGTTGAAAACAGCCCAGTGATGGCACCCAGGAACCTGCAGGACACACCCAGCAATGAAGCACTGTCTTGGGAACACGGACCTTTCATCATGGTATCTTGGATTATCAGCCTCTCCTGCCTGCCCTGAAACAAAAGCATTTGCAAAGAAACTTTGGTGGTTGCAAAGAAAAACGAAGATTGAAATTTCCTCCTCTTTCTGCTTCCCATCAGGTGCTGCGGAACAACCTCTGAGGGCTGATAAGGCGTATCCGCCATTCCCTGATGGATCATAACTAATGAGCTCCTACCTGGGGGCTGATGAATGGGAGATTGAAAACCCCCGGCTCGTTAGCACTCGTTATCAGCTGATAAGGGCAAATTGAGTCATAAGAGCTGAGGCAGTGGGACTGCTGGATGGGAGAAGGTGGTGTATTCCCGGCCTGTGGAATGGCAGCCCGCCTGCTTCCGTGTGTGCCGTGGTGCCAGTGCAGCTCTGCTCTGCTTCCTGACACCCCACAGGCCAGGAGAGCCACCCAGGCACCCAGCACCCTCCTGGGAAGGGTTTATAACCCCTTCTCCCAACCTGTGCAAGGGCTCTGTGCTCCCCAGCACCCTTGGGCACCTCGGTCACCCAGGAAAGGGGCGACACACAGGGCAGAGAAGTCCCTGGGGCTGTGGAATGTGTTTTCCACCTGTTTCACTCCATCATGAGCCCACTTTCTGTTCCCTGAAGAGGAGCAATCATGCTTGGGGAGCACCAAAGCCAGACCCAGGGCTGTGGGAGCGCGTGGCAGCATAAGGAGAGGCTGCAAAGTGTCCCAACCAAATCCCAACAGCCCTTGAAATATTCCCCAGCACCCCTTCCAGGGCTCTGCCGCCTTCCTGTCTCTGCCAGGGACTCGTGCACACGTGGAGAGGGGAAGTGTCTGGAAAAAGATGGGATATGTGCCACCTTATTAGAGAATCACCTTGGTATTCAAGTACTCTCTCCCCCACTACTTCTCCAGTTTTAAAGGTGCAAGTTTTCCCTTGCTTCTACTTTTACTTTTCTACTCCACCCAAGAGGAATCTGAAGGGTTTTTGCCTCCTTCAGGCCTCAGCTTCCATGGGCATGATCCACCAGCATTCCCAGCTCATGACACGCGTCCTACAAATTCAGGATGGGGGTATTTGGATGTTTTATTCATGAACGTGGACAGATTTATCCAGGACTGATGTTCCAAACAACCCTGGGAAAGATATGGTCAGGAAGATGGTTGCCAGAGCTTTGATGCCCTCTCTTTCTGTGTAATATTTGTCAAGATGATTTTCCTCTTTTCCATGCGCTTTACTGGGAAGCAGGAATATACAGAACTATATTTTGAGTCATGCATTAGCTGGAAATATCCTGGATAGGTGGGGGGAGCTGTCTGCTTCCATTGCTGACTGGGGAGGAAGAAGAACCTTCTCTCAACCACTGTGGTTATGGAACAATCCATGCTTATCCCAGCTCCTCACTAACTCTTCTCCATGAATTTCACGACTGCTGCTATTGAACATTTTTTAAAAAATGCTGCCTAAACCATCAAACTCTTTGGGAAGCTAAGTCAAACAGAAATACTTCCAGAGGTGCCCCAGATAATATGGAGTAGATCCAGTGCTCATTTTCCAAGGTTTTCTTCTTTAATATTTCCATTTTCAGACAAAGGCAACCTTTGACAATCGCCCAGACTCTGACAAATCCCATTTCAGCCACTCAGCGAGGCTCTTGCTGTTTGTTTTGCAGCGATGTTCCAGGCTGTGAGGGCCCTCATGATCGTGGGGATCGTCCTGGGACTCCTCGGCCTCTTTGTGTGCATTTTTGCTCTGAAATGCATCCGGATTGGGAGCATGGAGGACACTGCCAAAGCCAACATGACCCTGACCTCCGGCATCATGTTCATCATTGCTGGTAAGTGGGAACTGTCATGTTTTCCATGTGGAAGGCTTTCCATTTCCCTGGAATTGAGAACTGGGCAAGTCTTGGTGCATTTCTGAAGCTTTTTGCTTTGTCCCCTGGTTATTGGCTTTGCCCCCCCCACCCCGATTTCCTGGGGTCAAGTGGTTTTTACCTCTGATTAAGGAACAAAAAAATCTCTGAAAACCAGAAGTTTGCATGGACAAAACATGGAAGGCTGAAAAAACATCCCACAGATGGAAAGGGAAGTATATATCTTGATTTGTTTTATAAAAGTTGTTGCCATATATTATTATAGCCTTTACTTATGTAGACTATTTCTTTCAGTTTCAGGCTTTATCCATAATAATTTTACAAAGATTCCTAGGGTTGTTGTAGCCTGGTTTGTAGGTTTTAAATACAGCCTACAAGGCTGCAGGAATACCCAGCTTCCTCAAAACTGCAAATGCTTAAAACATCATTTACAGGTTTTCCGGCATTATTTTTGAGATAAGAGTCAAATTAAATCTATATCCTAACAAAGGGAAGGAGAATGTCCCTGTTTAAAATCCTTCAAATCCCAATGCTTTACTTTTGCTGGGATATGAGACATTCAACACAATTTCAAAAAGTATAAGCTGTAAGGAGGAAACCACCTCCTGCCTCACAACTTTAATTTTGTATGTTACATCTGTCATTTTAGAGTCATGGAATGGGTTGGGTTGGAAGGACCTTAAAAATCCTCCAGTTCTACCACTGCTATGGGCAGGGACCCCTTCCACTGGACCAGGGCTCCAAGCCCCATCCAACCTGGCCTTGGACACTGTGGAAGGAAGAACAAAGCAAAACTGTCTTGTGAGAGTTTTCTGCCAAAAGTTCTGAACTTCAGCTCTTCTGGACACTGCAGCTCCTATCTAACCTTGGTCTTTAAGGTCCCTTCCAACCTAAATCAGTCTGTGATTCCATGTTCAAGTGTTCTGTGAATTCTTCTGCTGAGGAAAACCAAAGGTTGACATTGCTGCCAGGATTGGCAGGGATGGCCATCCCAGACATCCCCTGTTTGGATGAATGGAAGAAGTTCCCACCTCCTGGGGCTTTTCCACATCTGGTGATAAACAGGCTGTGAACCAAAGGCATCTCCTCTTTCATGTGACAGAGAGCGTGTTTTCCCATTAAAAAAATTCTGTCAGGGAATTTTTGGTCCATGTTTTTTACTGTAAAACAAATGTTTAAAATTAACTACTGGGTATTTTGTAGAATGACCTGTTTGTTAAACTCATTTGTGTGACAAAACACATCAGGAGAAAGATTCCTGCTGTTTTGATTGGGAGTGTGTTGTGCAATATTGTATTCCTGATGCTGGCTAGTAAATGCAAGGAAAACTTGGAAGAAAAATGTAACACATTATGGGTCCCCCTTTGTGCTGAAGGCCACAGAGCAGTATCTCACCCACCTTTCCAGAGGTGTCAGATGCTTCCCTGAGACCCCAGGAGACTTCTTACACTGTGTGGCTCTCAGTCTGTCCTCCTGTCCCCTCTCAGGCCTGTGTGCCATCACTGGAGTGTCTGTGTTTGCCAACATGCTGGTCACAAACTTCTGGATGTCCACCACCAACATGTACCAAGGAATGCAGAATGTCCAGAACAGGTGGGTGCTCTGCTGTGTGCTGTGTGCTACATGGTGGAAATCTCCCTCACGGCTGCTGCTGAAGGATGGCAAACTTTGGAGTATATTTGGATGGTTGCAGGGCCTGGAAGATTATTCTTAGGAGATAGAGTCTGGGCTGGAGATCAGCAAATGGGCTGGGATGTCTGTGTCCTTGAAGCTCAAGAATGAGATAGGGAGGCCATTGGGATTCAGACTGCAGGTGGGACCTCTGGGGACTTCTGGGTACAGCTGTAGGGCCAGGGGGAGTATTCTGTGCCAGTGTTCAGTGTATCTCAGCAGCAGCAGACAGCACCTGTCACACCCTAACCAGGCACGCCTGTTTTGCAGGTACACCTTTGGCTCAGCCCTCTTTGTTGGATGGGTGGCAGGGGGCCTGGCCCTCGTGGGAGGCATCATGATGTGCCTTGCTTGCAAAGGGCTCATCCCAGAAGAATCCCGGTAAGTTGGGCTGGGTGGGCATGGGGAGGTATTGCAGGAAACCTGGGTGCCCAGGCGTCCCACAGCTGGTCCAGGATGTGAGGATGTGTGACACCCCCGCCACAGTAGCTCTCATGGTGATGGAAACACAGAGTTCTTTAGGCTGGAAAAGACCTTTAAAATCAGAGTCCAGCCATTAATGCAGCACTGCCAAGGCCACCACTACCTGAAGTTTATGGTTAGTGAGTTGCCCCCTGTGGGTCCAAAGTGAACATTTGCCCTCCCTGACCCTGTGACTCACACATGAACAGAGAGGACATGAGAACCAACCTCAAAATGTGACATTTGCACTGTGCTGGTAGATTCAGCCCATTAATTGCAGGCTGCACAGCAGATCATTAGCAGGGATAGATTGCATCAGCTGAGCCGTGATTTACATGGAATTGTAGAATTCCAGACTGGTTTCAGTTGGGAGGGATCTAAAGCCCTTTCCATTTCATCCCTGCCGTATACAGGGACACCTTCCATAGACCAGGTAGATCCAAACCTTGTCCATCCTGGCCTGGAACACTTCCAGGGATGGAGTAACATCATCGGGAATTTATACCCCAACATACCCACTTATTGCAGGTGGGTCCATCACTCCACAAATGGTTTACTTAAGGGAAAGAAAGTGTAAGTTTATGAAGGAACCTGAAAGGGACTTGCAGCTTTCCACGGATGGTGGGCTGAGCTCTCTGAGTGCCTCCAAGTGATGGCACAGCACAAAGTTCCCTAAAACCCACCATGAGCACAGGGTGCAGTGCTGGGCAGTCACAGCCCCTCCCAAGGCTGATGTTGCTCTTGTGTCTCTTCCAGCTACAAAGCTGTGTCCTACAACGCCTCGGGCCGGAACATCTCCTACAGGACAGGGCCCTACAAGACTGGCTCGGGGTACGAAGCTGACCCAAAAACCAGGAAGGGTGTGGGATATGAAGAAGCTCCTCGAAGTGAGGATGGGAGACGTCCGTACCCTTCGAAATACGACTACGTCTAGCAGACCTTCTGGCCTTGAGTTGTGCTATCAGACATTTGTAACTTCACAAGCAAAAAGTGCAGCAAACCAAGCAGTCTGTAAATAGGATTGTGTTTTCTAGCAGGTTTTCTCTACTCTGAGGTTGCATCTTTGTTGTGAACATCATTTTTACTCGACTGCCCATTAGTATTAACAGCACCAGAGGTCTGTAAGCAAAGTAACGCCTTGTAGTGCTCTCAGAGTAGAATATTTTGCTCCTATTTTCTCTATAAACTGATATCCAGGAGCAGTGCCATGTGCCCTTTCTTAATTGCTCAAATAGTTAAAATTTCCCTTTGATAATCGCTGTGTATTTGAAGTAAATTCTGTTGTGTCCCCTTGGCTGTGCCCAAAGCCAACAGAGCCTGTGGTCAGGGCATTTTTCTCCCTGGTGACTTCTCTACCCAGTCTCACCTTTGCCTTGCTGGCTGTACTCAAACGCTGATCTGCTCTGATATTTAATCTGATTTGTGTTACTTAGATGTTTGCTGGAGCCTGTGATAGCAAAGTGTATTTATGTCTTCGGATCTCTCCAGGGAATGTGCATAATCCATTGTTATTCCTGCACTAATAGCTCCCAACCTCTGTGCCACCGGTGTTCCCACAGATGTCATCTTTAATGGAGCCAGGAGAATTTCTCATTTAGAATTAATTAGAGTCACCTTTGGAGCAGGACTCCCAGGGAGCATTAGATGTGTAACTCCACACCGACATCAGGACTTCCCTGTGGTAATTCTACCCCCAGCGATGGGAAGATTAACTCCACAGTGGAATGTTGCCTCCTCCAGCCAATCCACCAGAGGGGGAGTTTATTTGAAGGGGGAAGAGGGAGACATGTCAGAACTTTTGTGGGAAGAGAGAGCTGTGGGCTCTCAGCAGGTCCTCCCACCTAGCACCAGAACACATCCTAAAAATATCTAGACAATGCCTAAGAATAAAGAAAAGGGATATGTTAGAGAGAAAAAAGGGTTCCAGAGCCTCTAAAATAACAATTTAATGGCACTGCAGTGGGCTTGAGTACCACTCCTCCACACCAGGATTACAAGTTCTCTGAAGGAATTCAGTTCAGGGAAAATTATTTTGGTGAAATGCTGGTGTTCCCTAAGTGTTTGGCATCTTAGAGGGATCAGAATCTACAGCTGAACATTTCTGCAGAGTTGGGCCTTTGAAAGGTCAAGCTGCCACCAGCTGAGCTGGCATCTCTGGTGGCTCTGAGGATTAGAGGGGGCAGGCTGTGCTCCCAGTGAGCACAAACTGTATTCCCCTCCTCCCCTTGTCCAAAAGTGCTCCATAAACCTCAGTTTCCATAACCCTCAGCTTTCCATAACCACCATCTCTCCACAACCCTCAGCTTTCTATAACCATCACGTCTTCACCACCACGTGGAGCCAAATCCCCAGCACAGGTCCAGGAGATCCTGGGGAAGGTCAACAAGAGGAGGAGGGAACACCTGGCAGATGGTTGGAGGGAACAACCACCACACAGAGGGGTGGGAAGAGCTTCCAGCCACCAGCAGCTCAGGCTGGATGTTGGCCACCTGGGATAAATCCCTGTGGGATGTCAGTACTGACCCTCCCTTTTGTTCCAGCAAAGAACTTGTGTTAAGGACTTGTTTTTAAAGGAGGAGAATTTATTTTGCAGAGGTAGATCCTGTTCTAGTTTAAAAACATTGCTACTCTTTTCCATGGTTTGTATCTCACAGTATAAACTTAGATTTTCTGCCCTTTTTTTGCCTGCTGGATTTTTTTGCTTGTTTGTTTTGTTGGTTGTTGTTTTCTTTTTTTTTTTACATGAATATTAAAAAAAGAGAAAGTCTTAAAGACCAGAATCACAGTTTCCAGTTGTTCTCTTTTTGTCAAAATCATCAGCTTCAATCTTTTTGCTCAGCCAAAGCTCCCCAGCTTGTGTTCTATGTGATCTTGGGAGGAGTATGGACACAGATGGGTGGTGGAGGGAAAAAAGAAAAGGTTGGAGTGTTTTATTCCCTTAGTAAGACCCAATGAGTCACACCATGTGAGAAAATATCAGACAATCAGATTAATAATTAGTGGGGGACCCCAAATCAGGGATATGATGGAGTCAGAGATCCTTGGTGGGACCCTGAGCTTGCTGAGGAGTAGAGTGCAGCAAGTTTCAGGGTAGAGATTAAACACTTCTGAGCACTTCATTGTTCTTAGGAGGGCAGAAAAATGGCGGGTATGTTCTCAGGCTCCACTGGAAAGGGGTTGAAAAGCCCAGGAATGTTTAATTTAGATAGAAAACACATAAGTGGTGCTGAGGGAAAGGTACACAGGGGAAAGAGAAAGGCAGGAAAACACCCAGAAAAATTTGAAATGGAGGTTTACGGCTGAGTTAGAACTAAAAAAAATTCCCAAGGAAACAGCTTTGAAAGTTACATTTTATTTTTCTGCTACACAAATGATGTGACAAAGTCCCCGAGCCGGCTATCTCTCGGTCACACTTTGATGTGTGCAGGCGTGTAGATGACAAGATTAGGGCCAGGAGCCTTATGGGGAGCTGAGAGAGAGCTGTATCCAGGAATTCCTGCCCTCGCTGGGCTCCTAATCTTCCAGCATCAGTTTTCATTTCCTTGCCTCGGCCGAAAACTCGCAGGATGAAATATTTTAATGCAGTGAACTCTGCTGAAAAAAAATCCCATTCCGGAGCAGAGAATCATTTATTTATGAGCCTGGTTGTGGCGTAACTACACTTGGTGTTACAGCTGCTCCTGTGTTTGTGGCCCTAAGGGACCTTATCTTGTTCTCAGCACCACGGAGGGTGGTGAACATCATTGCTGGGAATGACAGCACAGAGGGAATCCACAGCCACAGCCACGGAACTGCAGCTCCTGCTGCAGAGAGAACTCAGGGTTTGCATTTGGAGCTGCTGGAGAGAGTCCAGAGGAGGAACCAGGGTGAGCAGAGGGATGGGGCAGCTCTGCTGGGAGGGAAGGCTGGCACTGCTGGGATTGTTCAGCCTGAAGGAGAGAACAGGGATCTCATTGTGGCCTTCCAGTCCCTGAAGGAGCCAACAGGAGACAGGGAGAGAGGATATTTGGACTTGAGTGACAGGACAAGGGGAAATGGCATCAGACTGAAAGAGAGGAGATTTAGTTTGGATATACAGAAGAAATTCTTGGCTGTGAGGGTAGGGAGACCCTGGCACAGGGTGCCCAGAGAAGCTGTGGCTGCCCCTGGATTCCTGGAAGTGTCCAAGGCCAGGCTGGACAGGGCTTGGAGCAACCTGGGATAGTGGAAGGTGCCCCTGCCCATGGCAAGGGTGGGACCAGATGAATCTTAAGGTCCCTTACAACCCAAACCATTCCATGATTCTGTAATTCCTTGTCTTGGACACAGACCCAAATATTTCCTTTTTGGCCGAGCTGATATCTCCTGTAAGCCCTGAAAGCAAAATTATCTGCTTGGGAAATCTTTGTGTCTTTACTGAGGCCAAAGTTCCCTTTTCCAAGCTTTCCTCTGCAGCCCAGAAGGCTAAAAAACCATAATTTTTTTGTGATACCCTAATTATTTTTTGGATGTAATGATCCAGAAGCACCCTGAGGATGACCCAATGTCTTGGTGACAGCTCATCATGTCTCAGTGCTGTTATGTGAAGGACACAAACCCCTGAGCCACATCCACAGCCCCCAGTCGTCTTGGTGACAGCTCATCATGTCTCAGTGCTGTTATGTGAAGGACACATAACTTCACATAATGTGAAGGGCTGAGCCACATCCACAGCCCCCAGTGCAAAGGGAAGGGGGACACTTGCCCAGGTGCTGCCTGGGGACCACCCTGGGGCCACCCACCCCAAACACAACCTCTGCCCCCCACGCCATGCATTGCAGGGAGACCCTTCACCCTCAAGGGTGTGAATTTGGGCTCTGAGATTCTTCACATGGGGCTGGAGCTGCTGGGAGGAGCAGCACGTGTGGAGCACACAGCGCTGGACCAAATCCATCCTGCCTGGCTGTGGGCTGGGAGGAGCAGGTCCAGATTTGCTGGGCTGAGCTGGGCTTGCTGGTTTGGCCAATTGCACAGCAGCAAGGAGGTTTGGGCCTCTGGAGCTGCTTGGCTGAGTAAAGCCTGGAAAAAAAAATGGTTCCAGAGGCAGCAGAACACATGGCCCTGTGAGTTTCCAGCAGTTTCCAGCTGCTGTTCCTGTTGAGGGAGGGAAGAGAACCTTCTTCCACCTTTTTAAAAATTATTTTTCATTATTATTTTATAATTTTCTGTTTTAAAAAAATTAAATAAATTATTTAAGTTAAATTTTTAATATTATTTTCTTTTTAATTTTAAATTTTTTTAAATTTTAATTTGATTTTTTAAAGTTTAATTTAATTTAAAATTGTTTAAATTTATTTTTTTTTATTGACCATAAACTGCAAGGGATAGATTTGGTAGCACTTGTAAAACCAAGGGAGATGAGTGAGGGAACTCATGAACAGTTGTTGGGGTTTTGTTTCCATAAATTTGATCGTCCTCTGAAAAATGCATTTCCCGTTCAGACAAGATAATTAAATCTAGGCTTGTCTAATAAAGCTGAGCCTGCAAAGGCTGGGTGCATTATCTGACAGCTCTGAGCAGGCTCTTTCCAAGCCCCTGCAACATCTGGAGTGTGTGAGAGCACGCTGGATTTGCATGGAGTTTGACCAAGGGACAAACTGGAGCTACAAATTGGACTAGGAGATAAGAACTCTCCTGAAATCTATATGCAATTAAAAGCCCAATCGTCCTCCCTATAGTGACAAGGTTATTGCTTTTATAGAGTTGAACAGAGATGAATGAGTCTATGGATTAATGGCACTAAGATTTATGACACTGTGCTTGCCCCAAATATTATGGGAGAATAGCTCTCAGGGTGAGATATTCCAGCTGAATAAATTTGATAGGATTTTTATTTTCCTTTATTATATTTTTTTTCGGCTTTGGGAGAGCTGTGCTGCATTCAGGGCTTGTTAGTGCTGTGGGTTGAATATTTATTGATATTCCCTTGTATAGTGATGATTTATAAAAGTATTGCCAGTAACAGGAGCCCATGAAGAAAAAGTCAATGGGAAAAACAAAACCCACAAACCCACTGATCTGAGTGATTTCTCTTTGTTTTAATTGGCCAGATCTTTGTCTTGCTGGCTCTGGGCTTTGTTTTACTGTTCCCAGAGACTCCAGAGAGGATAAAGCCAAAGGAGTCACTTCTGGCAGGAGAAATGAGGTGGCAGCAGTTGGTGGAGACCATGGGAAACCCCTCTGTGCTGTGCTGAGCTAAACACAAAATTACGAGGCAAATAAAAACCAGTGGGATTTTAAGAGGAGCAGTTTGGAAGGGATGGAGTTACACCCAGGGCAGGGCAGAGGGGTGAGGGCTGAGGGAAAACCATGCCCAGGGAAAACCTGGAGTGTGGGACAGTCCCTGCTCCTCCACATCCCAGCAGGATGCAAGGATTGCACCATCCATCACTTAACAAATCTTTGGGAGTTGTTTTATGCCAGGTTGGAGAGGGCTTGGAGCAACTTGGTTTATGGGAAGATGTTCCTGGGGGTGGAACAAAAAGGGCTTTAAGAACCCTTCCAACCCAAACCACCCTGGGATTTTTGGACTTTGAGGCAAAGTCTCTGGGGGTTGAGCAGCAAGGGCAGAGATGTATTTCCCAGCCTGACCAACCACCCTGCACCACCCAAAAACCCTGGGCTGGCAGAGCACAGCAACAGCATGGATTTGATCCCAGCTTCCCATGGAACACACTGGCTCAAGGTTCCCAATGTGGAACAAAATCTCTTTTCCACATCTCAGCTCCCTCACTGGTCAGAGGATGAGTGCCACCTTCCTGAGGCTCTCAGCTGTTTCTGGACTTTCCCAAATATAGGAGAAGTTTCCCCCCACTTTTCCACATCACTTGGACTTTTAAGCTCACCAAAAGCACCTCAGGCAGGAAAACTGCTGGGAAAACCAACAGAAAAGTGATTCTTGCACTTGCTGGCAGCTGAACGAGCAGGCACCTGCCTTGGCACCAGGTTTGCCACGTC